ATTTGTTTAGAGCCTCTGAGTTTTCTCTTTGGGTGTTGGACTCAAAGCCACATCACATTACAACAGTACACCCTCCAAAAAAAGTCCTCTAATATGCTGAGCTGTTTAGTAAAAGACTTTTCTTAAGAGTTTGATGCTTTCACTGGGACCAATCTTAGAAGGTAATGATGGTTAAGTGGAAAGGACCTTGCAGAGATTTTGAGACATGTAATTGTCTTTGCCAGGGTAACAACTGTCTGCTTCAAGTGTCTGAATTGCTTAAGTTGTGCGTGTACATGTTGTTCTGTGGTCACGTGGACAAATATTAGTCCCATACCATCATTGTGAAGACTTTTTAGCTGGTCTTAATAATTTAAAAAGGTTGTTTGAGACTTGTCTTAGTGTTTAAGGTTAGAATTTGGTGTAGCTTAGAGTAAGTGGCTAGGGAATGCTTTAGGTCCTCACAACATGGCGCAGGAACGTAGCACTCTGTGACGTGACCTTGGCATGTCTAATTGCAGACAAACTGACAGGCCACATACTAAATGGAGGAGAAGCTGATTTTGGCAGACCCACACCCTCTTCTTCTTTGCTGCAGCTCATCTCCTCCTCGTCATCAGTACAGCAAAAGCCTGAGCTTTTCGCTGACATGTAGAGAGATACATCGTGCAACTAAGTCCACTGCTCAAAAAAACGAGTTAATATTGGCTAACCACCTCCTGGAAAACCTTTGGTTGCCTAGCAACTAGCATGATTCAAGTATGTGTGTCCTCCTCCCCTGTGCTGCGCCCAAGCCCCACAGTGAGCGCAGTGCATCCCACATCCTATCTGAAAGCCCTTTAATCCTACCTGCCTCCCTATCTCACACTTCCCTCCAACTAAGTTTCTTCCTTTCCACACCTTCCTATCTCATTCACTGTGCCTGCTGAGCCCAAGAGAACGGCTTTGCACATCTAATGGCCTTTTCCTCTCCAGCCTCTCTCTAATGTACTAACTAAATATTTTCTCTAGAAAAAGGTCAAACAATGTAAGAGGACCTAGAATAGTCAGGATAATCACCTTTATTTGGCCAAATACGTTACACACACAAGGAATTTGTCTCCGGTACAGAACCAAGGCAGCCATCTGTGGCGCCAATTCACACCTCTAACCATCGGGGGCAACTTGGGGGTTCAGTGTCTTGCCCAAGGACACTTCCACATGTGGACTGGAGGCACCGTGATTCAAACCACCAACCCTCCGGGGGGCAAACGACTGCTCTACCCACTGACCACAGTCGCCCCCGTCGTGGCAAAAGACCAAACTGCAGGCATCAAAATTTAACTGTGGCCCAATGCCTCCATGGATCTGTTCTTTATCACTACAAGTTGATTTGGAAACAATTACAAGATAGGGGAGTAGTGAGAAATTGGTTCCAGCCCCCCGACAATGCTTGTTAGGATAAGGAGTATAGAGAATGGATGGATGGATGTGATTACTGAGGATACTGCTCAGCTTAGATACAGCAAAATGTTTTACTAGTGAGTTATATAAAGCCTTACAGAATTGGTACAATAGAAACAATATACTTGAGAAAATCTGGGGTATGTTGAAATCAAACTGGGTAAAACAGATATTGGACACAACTTTAATATCCTGTGCTGTGTTGTGCAGAATGTGTTGGTATGTTTTCTTATGGTATAGAACAAAAAAGTGTACTTTTAAATCTTAAATATGTTTAACATTTATCTTAAACATACATAATAAGTAGGAGGTTTTCAGTATGATTGAAATAAACATCATGTTTTAGTCTCAGATGGAATTTAAGCTGCCTGATTACTCAGGTGCCTTTTCTCTTGTGTCCAGTTAGTAGAAGGGCAGGTTTCCCAGTCAGGATGCTAAAACAGTAGCAGGCCTGAACCTGACCAGTGTCCTTCTGATGGACTCTTGCAGCTCCTTGTTCCTCAGACTATAGATCACTGGGTTCAGGAAAGGAGTCAGGGCAGCGTACAGCACAGCTACAATGATACGAACCTAAAAGACAAAAAGAACACCTTACTAGACAAACAAGGTAGGCTTAGCATACCTGTCCTTTTTTTCCCCGTGGAGGATGACAAGGTGCAGCACTTTCTGAATGTTTCAGATTGCTACCAGGAAATCTACTGTGTGTTCTTTCAGGGAGTGACCAAAGCCTTTTGGCCACCGCTACAGTGTAGTGTAGACCCGGAGTTTGCTGGAAGACTTTTATGTCCCATGTAGCTTGGGAACACTTTGGGAACCCCCGTGAGGAGCTGGAAGATGCTGCTAGGGAGAGGGATGTCTGCCCCATGACCCAACTCTGGATAAAAAGGTAATGGATGGGTGGATATTCTGACTTGGGAGTGATCAAACATTATTTCAGGGTGGTTACGCCTACTGCTACTCTGTAGTTACACCAGACAATCAGCCAAAATTAGCCACATTTGTTGTGCTGTAGCAGTTTGTTACCAAGAGAAACCAGATACAAATAAATGAAGTATAGCTCCTACCAAAAGAGCTGTATCAGCTGTAGTAGTATTCATTTTAGATTTTATTTTGATGCAACTTCCAGTGATGGTACATTTGCAGACATTCTGCCAGTAGTAGTTTGACATGTTCATAGTTTGTTTCAGAAAGTGGAAGACATCGGGAGAAATTCCCAAAATCTCCTACTTGGAATTTTGGATGCTTGCAATTATAATTTAAACAATACAATATCAAAGCAGCACTAGGGCTGAATGTAAGGAATGTAAATGTTACTTTTGGTGGACATTTGTGAGACAAGCTAAAACAAGAGCAAAGGTAAATCTCAAGTCAGGTCATTTGAGTCTCGTACCTCTGGTGAAAAGTTTGTCACTCTGTACGAAATGTATACAAAGGCAGCGGAGGTGAACGAGATGGACACCACAGTCAGGTGAGCAGCACATGTCCTGAAGGCCTTCAACCTCTGACCAGCACCCATCTTTGATATGGAAATGCCAATGAAGATATAGGAAGTCAGGATGAGGACTCCTGGGATCAGTAGAGACAATGTGGCAAAGAAAAGAGACACAATGTTATCCACTGAGGTGTCAGCACAGACCAGCCGCCTTACAGATGAGAAGTCACACCAGCCATGTTTGACCACATTTGGACCGCAGTATGGTCGGAGTAAGGCAATGGTGGTCACCGGGAGTGGGCAGAAGGTGCTGAAGCCCCAGGCTCCTGCTATAAGGAGCATCTGGACACGTCGGGTCATGATGGAGGTGTAGTGCAGAGGGTGGCAGATGGCCACATAACGGTCATACGCCATGACAGTCAGGATGGAATGACCAGTACCACTTAGCTGATTGAAGAAATGCATCTGGAGGAAGTAGCCTGGGACTGAGATGACTGACACTTCTGACAGGAAGCCAGCCAGCATTTTGGGGATGGTGGAGGTGGTGTAGACTATGTCCACAAAGGAGAGTTGGCAGAGGAAGAAATACATGGGAGAGTGGAGCTTTGGATCAGTCAGTGTCTGATGAGAAAAACAATGGGAATGATTATCAAACTAATAATTTAATCTCACTCAGACTGAGACAATACAGATCTTTGAGTTGACTTCACCAATTGCTTATCTAAATCATCAACATGTCTTCTAGACCCAATCCCGATCAGGTTGCTCAAAGACATTTTACCACTAATCAACACATCAAGATTAGATCTGATTAACCTCTCTCTATTAACAGGCTATGTTCCACAGGCTTTTAAGGTTGCTGTAATTAAACCTCTACTCAAAAAGCTTACTCTTGACCCAGGTGTTCTATCTAATTATAGAACAATATCCAATCTCCCCTTTACTTCTAAGTACAACTATGAAGAACCTTGGAGTGATTTTTGATCAGGATATGTCCTTTAAATCACACATAAACCAAGTCTCTAGAACTGCCTTCTTTCACCTGCGCAATATTGCAAAAAT